GGGCATTGCCCATCGATAGTTTATACGTCTAACTTGTGATCAGCAGTGTAGTGTCATCACTTACAATCCCCTCATTCCACTTCCATCTCACCATTTACATTACACTACACCACCACTTCTACACCAACATTTCCACATCCCACATCCTACCTACACTCAGCTGATTGACACTTCGAGACATACACACTTCATCACAACTCTAGACAGCATTTCATATATTGAAGATCATGTCACTCATTCAGACCGCATTCACACTTGATTTTGAGCGTGACTTTCAGCAGTGGTTGCGAGAACAGGCTTTCAGCCACACAATATCGGATGAAGAATACACAAACCGCCGCTGGGTTCTGGATCATCCCAATCAGACCCCTCCATTTGTACCTCCCCATAATTCGTGGATGACTCGAATGCGTCAGCAATATAAGTTAAGCGATGATAAACTCGATATCTTACACAAACCCTTGGGCGAGACAACATGGTACAAGCTTGTACCTATTTCCGAAGTATTTGCAAAGATCAAGCAAGTGCATAGCAATATTGTCACACATTCTGGTCAAAACAAGACACTTGCGGAAATTCGAGCTCACTACCGGGGGATTGGAAAGTGGGAAGTGAAGAAGATGCTAAATGCTTGCAATGTTTGTCAACTAAAGTGAGTAGTCATGAATTTTGGAGTAATATGATAGGTCTGATCAGCAGAGCTCGTAATAAAGACAAGGGAATACTTCAACCTCTGAAATCAGACACTCCATTTGAGCGTATTCAGATCGATTTGATTGACATGCGTGCAGATGAATGTGTTGCAGATGGGGAGCACTTCCGTTGGATCTGTCACATTAAGGATCATTCTACAAAGTATTCACAGGTGGTGAGTTCATGATCAAAGTGTATAACTGATACAAAGTACGCAATGACATCAAAGTCAGCAAAAAATGTCGAGACCTGTGTGATCACATGGATCAATCACTTTGGTGCGCCAGATATCTTGCAGTCTGATAATGGCTGGGAATTCTGCAACAAACTCATTGCCCATCTGGCTCAGAAGTATGAGATGAAGATCAAGCATGGATTACCTCGTACTCCTCGTGTCCAGGGATTGGTCGAACAAGCCAATGGCACGGTCAAAACAAGACTGTCCAAATGGTGTTTGGATCACCCAGGACAACCATGGTATGCTGTTCTCCTCTCATTGTAATGATATGCACTGACTTCTTTTAGGGTGGAAGGATTATCTCCAGTGATCCGCTCAATCAATTACACCCGTCATAGTGCAACTCTTCATACCCCTCATCAGGCAGTATTTGGACGGAAGCACCGAGAACTTCAGCTGTGGGAAGAAGGAGAAGATCGAACTCAAATCATTCAAGTGAGAAGTGATGTGGAGTCATCAGATGAAGAGAATGTACTGGAAGATGAAGTAGCGGTTGAGAAGGGATTCCGATGGGAAGATGAGGAAGAAATCAGTACCTCGACCCATTCAGAGCGAGGTGAGAGTGGTGAATCAGGAAATGACAATGATTTTCAGTTTCCAGGTGAGTCTCAGTGTTTAGGTGTTTTGTTGATTAGGTAGACCTTCCTCCACCCCTTCCTCCGCTTGAGTCCGGTCCAACCACATCATCTCAGACGGCTCAATCCCAACCGCAGTACTTACCCAATGCTGGTGATGACTCACCTGATGCCGAACGTGAACAGGTTCATGCCACAATGCGAAGACGTCAGCAAGTTGTCCGAGATCGAATGATTGTTCAATATGGTGTCGATAATCCTCAACATGAGTATGAGAAGGAAGATCAAGTCACACTTTATGTTCCTGTCATTGATCGGTTAGGAGCAGCTGCCAGTCGAATTCCTTGTCTTGTCTGTGAAGTATTTGAAGAGCCTGGTCAGCTGAAAGCATATCGCCTCATCTGCAAAGCTGAGGTACTGAATCGATTATACCAAAGTAAAGTCTTGAACCCAGCAGACTACTTTGACATTCCCAACGAAGTTTATCTGGCAATGTATCGATGGAAAGATCAGCCATTGTTTCCCTGAAAGAAGCAGCACGGAAGCTCTTAGGTAAGTACTCATGCACAGTTCTGTAATGGCTGACAAGTAAGGTGTATCCAAACGCCAGGTCAGCTGCAAGTGTAAAGGGAAATGTGCTACAAGCCAGTGTAAATGTCGCAAACGTGGTCTCAAGTGTTCTCTTTACTGTCATGGTGCTGAAAGGGAATGTACAAACTTCTCTCGTCTTTCAGCAACAGAGCGAAATCTTGAGGACCTATCCAGTCGCTCTGATCAGGAGAGAAGATCCGGTACCAAAAAGAGCAAGAAGCGTACAAGAAAACAGCAAGAGCATTCCGACGATATTCTTCCTTCCGAAGGTATGTGATCTCCTGACAACTTCTCATCTTACGGTCGACAAAAAGTGTCTGATGAGCACGCTTCCCAATCTGCTCCTGATATCGAACGAAGCGATGAAGAGAGTGATTCTAGTCAAGAGACCGATTGGCCAGATCACTGTACCAAGTTTGAAACCTGGAGTGATGGTGGAGAACGAGATATACCTCATGGGTTTTGGGAAGGGAAGAGTTCTCTTGAGGAATACCCGCAGTATCTCTCACACTCACGCAAGGATGAACTATGGATCGCGGAAACCTGGCAGGCAGAGGGGAAGACGTGGAGCCTGGACAAGTCCACACGAGCCTTGGCCCGAAAGTACAAATCCTGGCTTTGGAGGGAGGTGATGATGCGCCACATGAGTGGAAGGCGAGGAACCATGCACCACGGCTTCCGTGAGGAGCATGCTAAGGCAATGAGGGATGTGAAGGGGGTAATGCTAGCTAGAGAGCGCTTCAGGGAGAAGTATGGTGAATCACTGCTTGGGTAGCTTGAGGAAAATGCAGTGTGTCTGTATGAAAGTGGACAAACAATGCTGATGATACGGAGTATGAAGCTTGATAGGTAAAAACCTGAAGCAGTATCTGAGTCAAATTGTTCCAATTCTGTTCTGGATTTCATGTTCAGTATGGGTCCAGTATGGTCGTGAAGCTTCGAAGCGGCATGATCTGAACCGTGAACCTTTGAAGCTGCATGTGTCTTCAATCTGGCACCAAAGGGGTCCAGGAAACCCGTGACACTTCGAAGTGTCACGTCTCCCGTGCGTCACCTAACATACCCAATCCATCTTAAACCGTACTCAAACCGTGACTAAACTTAACTAGGTAACTATGTGTCCTTCCTCATGTCACAACAACTCGTGACAGATGGCTGCATTAGGTAGGGATGGGTTTTCCTCTTTTGAGATTTTCCCAATTGGGTTGCTCAAAGAGGGTTTTCACCTGTCTGAGTATGTACGCGCTCGCAGCGGAGTAAAGGTAGCTCGAAGAACGGGTGGATAGTACATAGAGTCAATCAGCAAAGTACCAACTTTGCTGATCTCTTCGATATCATTCTTTGGCTACATCCATTGCAGAGGAGGCATGACCATCACATAGCATCAAAGACACCTAGATTTCCATGAGAATTCCATTGTGTTTGAGCTAACCTGCGACCTAGACGTCGTGGTTCCAGCACCGTTACAGCTTATCATATTTCATATACAGCAAACCAGAGGCAAACAAATAAAATCCAGGGGATAAGTTGAACAAAGGAGTACCCCATGGAAGGGGTGATGTGTCACAAAGGATGTGACAAGTGCAATTTGGATGTGACAATCGCGTTCACAATCCACGACGTGAAACGAAGTTTGATGGGACGGGTATCTAACCAGCGATCGGTGGTGATGTCAACCGCCGGTCAAAAGGCCTTTTCGTCACGGTGGTTTTAGATGTCCTGAACACTGTCACGTTGGGCACTGTTATATAGTCCCAATGCTGGTTAGTTGGTCTCGTGACATGATGATCTAATGACAGTTAGGCCGTTGCGGGTCGATTCTTTCGGCAAACAAGTTGGTCAGGGTTGTGGTGTTTGGTGGTTAGAGGGGTCAGTGATGGTGGATGTCAGGGATGTCACAATGTAGTTCGTGACCAGTACTTCTCATGACAATCTTGTCTTACTCTCTAATCCACTGTCATCTTCAGTCATCTACACTACCCGGATCCCCATCTTCTGGCATATCAAAGTCCAGACCAAGTCCGGGTAATGAGGCTCTGTCCTCCGTTGGCGGTTCACTCTCAAAGTAACTTCCTAGGCTGAAAGTGTTGCTCAAGGCAGATGGGCTTTCAAATTGACTTGGAGCGAACGGCTCCTCTTCAAGATAAGAGGGAGGCGTTGCTATGCTATTGGCACTGTTGGCCACTAGTCTGTCACTGGAAAGCCTTGAGTCAGCCTCTGAGTCAGGTTGTTTCCCTGCTTTGACAAATTCTACAACCCGGTCAATCAAGGAATCTCCCTGCTTCAGTCCCTTTGGTTTCAGTGGTTGTGCAAACCACTTATCAAGGTCTGAAAACTCTGCCTGGCTTATGACATGAAGTCTAGGGTTGCTATAATATGGCCAACCATGTTCTCCAGGACTGAAGGGTTTGTCAAGTCTTTCAGTTAGTGAATCCAGTGTACCGTTGACAATCACTGCTTGATGTATTCGCTGGTGGAGCTGAGTCAACCGATCTTCCGCATCTTTGGGTGGCTCTTCTGCTAACTCTATCTCTCGGCTTGTGCCATTCATCACCTCAGACCTGAACTGTTCTAGTGTCAACAAGTCATTACGGGTGAGGGATCCACGAAATTTCCGCCATGCCGCGTTAATGTGATTGACCACAAGGGGAGTGGTACCACATAGACCCTTCTCCCAATGTAGGTACTCACCGGTCTTCTTGATCCAATCCGGATCCCCACAATGGGGTGCTCCAGTACCGATCACCATGGCCGTGAATGAGATTGAGAGCGTAGGCTCATTGTCTTGATCTGTTGAGTTGGATTTGTCGGCATCCTGAGTCTGATCAGGGTGATTTGAATCCGCACGATGTTGATAGAGACTAGCACCCGGAGGTCTTGAGATTTGGGCGAGGGACATCTGATTTGGGCCTAGATTTGCCAAAGTCCCTAGTGGTGTCCTGGCGGTGGATTGAGAGTCCAGGAAGTCAACATGGGATGTTGCCCCCAGTCTAGGTCCTCGTTCTTTTGCCAGGAATCGCATTGGGTTTGCTGGGGTAAGATTACTCAGACCTAATATGCTGGGAGGTGGGGTGTCCTCTGCATGATTATTTTCAGAGCCCAAGTGCTGGGAAAGCTGACTCAGACCAATAGAGAGACCAATTACCAGATCACAGTATCGTTGTTTATCCTCATGCCCCTCCATGTACGGGTAGCAGACTTCAAGACTCTCCATCATTGCGGCTGTAAGAGCGAGTCTACCAGGCAAGTGAAAAAGTCAAATTGGAAGAGAAGTTGATATCACCTCAATCTAGTTTGATGGTGGTGATGAGACAGATTCACAAGACCGGGGGTTTGTTTTCCTTACCTTATATCTGTTTTCCTTACCTTATATCTCATTGGGGACAGCTACTGGGATTCAACCCGTGGAAGGCCCACATAGCTTTCAACCTGTGTAAAAAGCGGTGCATGCGCGACGGACGGACGGACGGATCATGATCACCTCTCGATCCCCGGCGACCCGCGGATAGTCATGATCCGATCCATTGTCCATCTCGTAGACCTTGGCACAGCATTCTCTTTCTCCTTTTTCCTGCCCTCCATGTATGCAGTGTGTTCACACGTTGGTGAAAGATGATGGCCGAAGTTGGTTTCGCACGGATGACATGAGGCGGTCCATCAATCTCAGTGTGGCGGCGCCACAATAATGTTCAGTCACGTGATCTCAACTCTTTCCTAGACAAATTTCCGTCCATCTCCATCCACCTATACATCTCTTTTTATTGACTTAGTATTCAAATTCTTCATACGAATAGCGGACAGGCATCGATCACGATATTGAATGATCGTAGGGTAAGATCGATCTTGACGCCACCATCTTATCATGTCCGTCGTTGCCTCTCCCACCCTTCTCACGGCTCTTTCCAACGTCCGTCGGTTATCCTCTTCCACCTTGATCCATCAAGCCAAGCCAGCACAACTCCTTCAAGCTATTGAATCGGCTCTCTCTACCCAGCTTGTAACTTCAGGTCCTTTTTCTCCCACTGCATACTTTGCTTCTCTACAACAATGTCTCGAAAGAGCATGTGCGGAAGACATTCCTTCTTCACACAACCCTTCTTCCGGTGATAACCTCCACGAACGATCATCACGACCACTCAGACGAGATATAGAAGGAGATGAAGAGATCGATGATGAAGAACTTGCCGAAACTGAGAATATGGGTCAAGGAGCTTTGATCCCTTCCACTCTTTACCTTTTAGCTATCGTCCTTCCTGAAACACCTAATCAAGTCATCTACGCTCATACCTCTCAACTCCTCGATTGTCTCTTGCCACTCTTCGAAACAGCCATGGAACATCCCCCTGCACTTCGATCTTTAGTGCAAATGGTGACTACCGTCTTACTGGCTATTCCAACGAATGTACTCGATAATTCTGAAGGCAGGAAAGAGGTGGAGGTAATACCTCACTTGAGAAAAGCTTGGAATTACTTGTTGATTTTGAATCTCGATGGTAGACCAAAAGTAAGGCATGTGGCCCAAGAAGGAATTCGGAAAGTCTTGACTTCAACATCAGGCAAGGCTCATCCATTCTTATCAAGAACGAGAGATTGGGTGATGAAGACTCTAAAAGTGGAGATGGAGATGATGGGCAAGAGAGATAAGAAAAAGGGGACGGACAAGGAAGAAGAGGAAGGAAAACGGATTATTTGGTTGATACAAGGCTTGAGAGGTTGGGTGGTGGTATGGGGAGATGAGGTTAGATATTTTCCTTCTTTCCTTTTTTGAACCTCTCTCTCCTTGTACCGTTCTCTTCTGTCTTCTCTGTCCTCACTTTCTTCCGGGTTTCTGACCGGCCTTCCATCGAACCAGCCAGTTGTTCTGGCTCCCATCTCTAAGATTTATGCTATTTTCTCCCCGTCAGGTCTCAATTGACGAACAGCACCTCTCGTCCCTCTGTGAAGTCCTACTGTCTCTGCCACCTCTCCCTCATCTCACGCAACAAATATATTCTCTCCTTTCCCTCCTCTTGTCTGCCCCACCCACAAACATCTCTGTCAAACCTCATGTCCTCACCAATCTCCCTACAGTTCTCGATTCCCTACTCGCTTCTCCTCCGTCCCTCACCTCAAACTACTCCGACATCCCAGCCTACCTCTCAGCGATATCTTCCACACTCATCAAGCTTTCCTATCAAGATCCGCAAACATTACAAACAAAACTGTCCAAGACCTTCACATTGCTATTCTCCACCATCCTCCTTGCTCCTTCACCTGCCAACGCTCAAGCGGTGCTCGAAGCAGCTTCCGACGTTCTAGGAGCGCAAGGGATCGCTCGGTATTGTGTATCAGACGATATGATACTCCAGGCTGTTTCCTATCACCAGAATGGCGTGTCGACCGATGGTAGACAAAAACAGAGACCTCCTTTCCTCTCAAAATTCATCTCTTCCATCTCTGAAGCCTTTGATACGCACGCATTGAGAATACCTTACTTGTTGCCAATCCTCACTGCTTTAGTTGCTCGATTGAGGATCCGTGTTCTCAGCTCGGAGGAGGATGGGTTGGTGAAAGTTGATGAATCTGGTAGAGGAAACACTGCGGCGGAGATACTAATGATGGACATTATCGCTGGAATAGCAGACCTCAGAACTCAAAGAGGATTTATGCATAAAGACCAAGTGGACGAATTGGTTGGGATGGCTATAGAGGTGATAGGAGTTGAAGGGGTACTTCGACAATTACCTTTGAACATTGAACCAGATGAGTGAGTCCCAATCCTCAGCTCATGTCCTACCTTCTTCCTCTCTCAACCTGCTCTTGGTACACATCCCCATCACATCCTATCAGACTTGTGAAATGATAGGTAAATCATAGTCAGGGGAACAAAAAAGTCATAGGATATCATTAACAGCACAGAAACGGTAATACACCTCAACCTGGTCGAGCTCATCTTCTCCCCGGTATCCGTCTACGCACAACAAACGATTCCCTCCTATTCTTCGTCACTCACTTCCGTCCTCTATCCGAAAGAGCTTTCGGACGTAAAATCACCGCTCAAGAATCGGGTAAACCAGCAGAAGCAAAGATCTGGGAAGTGATAGTAGGTCAAATATGGGATTGTTTCCCTGGTTTTTGTGATATGCCAAGGGATCTTCAAAAAGGATTAACATCACCTTTCCTTGGTTTACTCACTAATCTTCTATATAATCAACCTACCCTTTTACCTTCTTTATTGAAAGGACTCTCGTTACTCGTTACTTCCACTCAGAGGTTGGTATCTTCAGGAACTGAAAAGGAAGAATTGATGAAACGATTCGGTTTGGATCAAGATGATGCTAAGAGTAATTTGGAATTTTTGAAAGGGTTGGCAAAGGATATGGTGGCGGTTTTGTTGAATGTCTTCAGCAAGATGCCTAGGGATACTAGAGGGATGGTAGGGGATGTGGTTGGTGTTTGGACGGGGATCATGTCGGAGAAGGTGAGTTTGGGATTTACCTGTTCATACATGTTACCAATTCGTCATCCTTCATAGTCGTATTTTGGCTTTCATCCTGTGTCCGTGCCTCTATATTCTTACAATTATCACCGAAACCCGACACCCTGACCCTCGGACTCTCCCGAAATCTGTATCTCCCCGTCCATCCTGCCTGACCAAGCCTTTCTGTCCGAACTGTCTTGGTACCGAATTACAAACGTTTTATACTCGTTCAGTCCGCAAAATCAAGGAACTAGCCTCGCTCACACTCAGGATATGATAGAAACATACAATACTGTCACTTCACATCTTTCCTCCGCCCTTTCATCCACTTCCACACCTGTTGCTACTGGTGCCTCCCCGATCTCACACACAATGTTAGACCTCCTCATCATCTTCGTCCCTACCCTTCCAGCCGTTCAAGCAACAGCATTGTTCAAAGCTACTGCCACCCCGACGGTGTTGGAAAATCCAGATGCCACCGTACAGAAAAAAGGGTATAGGTTGTTGAAACGTTTGATAGAGGCTGGACATGGTAAGGAAGATTTGGAGGGATTGGTGAAGAAGTTGAACGATGTCGTAGGTAATGTCGGTCCTGGGGCTCAACGAGTGAGTGATTCTCACACTCTTTCTCTCGTTTCATGCCTTTCCAGTGTTGTACACAGTTCTTCATCTCCCTCTCCTTGAGATGTCCAACCATGAACGTGAATTGTGTTTTCATTATGGTTTGGACCACTTGCTGACTTGCAGGACCGTCTTCAATTACTGTCCGCACTTGTCGAAGCCCTCCCGAAAGATAGTCTACATCTTATCCCTGAACTCTTATCAGAAGCTGTTCTAGGGACTAAAGAGTTGAACGAAAAAGCCCGTGATGCGGGTTTCGATCTGGTTGTTTTGATGGGTCATAAGATGGCTGAGGGAGGTTCGGTCAAACGGGCTGTGCCTACTGAAGATGAGGAGATGGATGAGGAAGGTGAGTCACAATTTATTCTTATTTCTTGATCATTGTTTGTCTCCGTCTCCTTAATCCTTCCTGCCAAGTGGAATAGGTAATTGGATGGTTCCCCGGCTATATCAATCACGTGCCCATTCGGTTTCTACGTTATTGAGCGGTACTTGTTGCCTGCCAAAAATCTACAATACAATTCGCGTAGCACGCCTCGAAGAAGCTACCATTCGCCTCAATGCCCCAATCCGGTGTTGAATGTCTTTCTCTGGTGACAAGTGTGATGATGTGTCTGAGCTCAGGGTGCCTTGTTTTATATGAGTGACTTTAACAATATGGACAATGTCTAATCCCCCAGAAACTGTGGAAGCGAACATTGAAGAATATATCACTATGGTGGGTGCTGGTCTGACTGGAACGACACCACATATGATCAGCGCTAGTATCAATGCGCTTTCGAGATTGATTTTCGAGTTCAAAGGTGAGTTCGAAGTCCTCGTTTCTTCAGTTTGTGGTAATCTTGGCCTATCTAAGTACTGTCCGTTTCTCTTTTCATCTTCGTCCCTGTCAATCGAATTTTATTCCTCCGTTCTATAGATGTGAAGACTCCGCTCGTCATTTCTCGACGTTATTCATCTGTTTCCCTGACCCTTACTCCGTGTCGATTCGATCCGTCGAGTACGCATTGAAATGGTTGTTATGTCAACTAGGGATATGAATAAATCCACTCATATTCAGATGATATATCCCCCTCCCTCTTATCTGAACTCATCTCCACTCTCCTCCTTTTCCTCAATTCCAAATCAAGAGAAATCGTGAAATCAGCATTAGGGTTCACCAAAGTCATCATCGTTGCACTCCCACCTTCCATCCTCGAACCTCATCTTTCTACTTTAGTACCTGGTTTACTGGGATGGGTACATGATCATAAAAATCATATGAAAACGAAGACTGTACATATTTTCGAAAGAATGATCAGGAGGTTTGGGTTTGATGAGGTATACAGACATGCTGGAGAGGGAGATGAAAAGAAAGTTTTAACAGCTATTAAGAAGAAGAAAGATAGAGCTAAGAGACGGAAATTCGCAGGGGAAGAAGTGAGTTGTGCCCCCTTCCCTTATCCCTTGTCTCCCGCCAGTTCCTGTGAACCTACCAGTATACAGGTAATATCAAACTCTTGGTCAAAGCAATTTCATTTCAATCTCATCCCTCTCTTCTCTTTCCCTGCCATCTGAATGGACTCAACTGGTTGACTTTCTCAAATCTCTTGTAGTGTGGAAAAGTTGGCTGTCAACTTTTGAACCCAAGAAGTGAAAATTCAAAAGATGGGAAGGATATGGACTTTAGACCGAAATTGATACACAGGACCAAACACAACCCCGTACATCCACCGGAAACGCGTTTGATGATATCTTGTATAATTCTGATTCTGACGCTTCTTCCGTTTCTGAGCCGATACAATCTCAAACTCGTAAAGTCAATAAGAAGGTTCAGGGGACTTTCATAAGGGATGAAGGTGATGAACCTATGGATTTGTTATCTCGGTCAGTAGCGGGTGGTATTTCTAGTGAGTCTCACTTCCCTCTCATTCATATGTCCGAGTCCAGTAGCCTCTTTATGCTTTCACTTGTTATACTTGAATCCCTCCGAAGTAGATTGAATAAAAAATACGCACTTTCACGTCCTCTGACACTGCCACCAAACCTTTTTGACCCTCTTCCGCATTTCATGTCCCTCCAACATCTTCCATCACTGTCCATCTCATGCCTCCTCCTTAGGATCCCAGCTCCTATCAACAACTTTCATCTCTGTCAAGATGACGACTCCCGATCGACATCTCAAGCCCCTTCCATCTCTGTAAAAAGTCATTTCTCGTCGCTGTCTCGACTCTTTTTGCCCAGACGATAGAGGAAGGAAGATAGGTGAAGCAATTTGGAAGTACAGCTAACTAGATTCTAGCCACAAACCCAAAATCAACCTCAAAACGACAACCAGGACAAGAAGCTTCTCATTTCCAAACTGATAAATCCGGTCGGCTCATTGTCAAAGAGTCCGACTCCGACTCCGGTCCAGACTCCACCGTCCTCAAGGCAAATGACGGAGGAGCGTTCTTAGCTTCCCAAACATCTGCCCATGGGGCGATCAGGAATTCCAGGGGTGATTTGAAGTTCGCTAGACATACAAAGAGACAAAGGGAACAAGAGAGAAGAGAAGATGCTATGGATGTGGATGAGGGGGTGGGCAGAAAGAGAGAAAAGAAACAAGTTGGGAGGTTAGGTGAAGAGTTTAGAGCTAAAGTGAGTGAAAAGTTCTTACTGTATTTTTTTAAACTATCCTACAAAGTTTTCAACTCTTTTCTGTCCAGATATTACATGACTTCTGTACTCTTTCTCACGCACTGTCAGACATATTATCCCTTCCTGTCTCTGTCTTATAGTAAATGGAAATCATCCTATATTCTATTATCCATTTCATATCAGTCATCCCGGAGGGTATCTACGTACCATTCAATTGAGAGAAGGAAAACAATCAGTCGGGAGAGAAAAGTTTTTGTGTGGGGAAGAGAAAGTTGAGTGGAGAGAACAAAGCTATCCAGTGTGAAGCAAAGTGCTATTGAGTTAGATAAGAAGTATCTCGAGCAAAAGAGATAAATTTCTTGGGTTGGCAGAGATCCTTGGGTTGGCAAAGAATATGAGTCGACACCATCACAACCTCAGTGCTAACGATCCAGCGAGCGGGAGGTGATATCAAAAAACAAAACGGTCCATCACCATACGCATACGTATCTATCGATCATGCTGCCCGTGGGAAAAAAGGAAAGAAAGATCGAATGAGTTTGACAAATAAAAAAAGAGGTTCGAAAGTATGATCGACCCTTCATAGGTGAAAAATTTCCTCCGTCATGGAAAAACCGATTATTTTGTAGAGTACTCTACTTTACTCTATAAGTAGAATCTTTGCTATTTATCTCGGAACCTATTTCAATGTACTAAGTGAAGATACACCCACAACTTTGAATTCTTCTAAATGTACATGCATTTGCATTGGTGACGGCATTAAGCTGGAGTGGTAGCATCAGCAGCAGGCAGAGAGGTTTGGACAATAAAACCACTATATGCATAGCGTCTGTGAAAGTGATTTGGACGGAAAATCAAAAGCAGCACAAGAAGGTAGATGATATCAGATATCAGTGTTGTGTGGTGTTCGTTTCGACCAAAACTCAATGTTGTGGTCCGCATCAACCACAATCAGTGTCAATAACATATCAACGCAAGAATGGATATAATGGATATGAAAAATGGATCAACCAGAGAGTTCATTAAGATCCAATGCATTTATCCGTGTATATTTACAAAATAAAGTTTCATGTCATGTATTGTACTTTGTGCGTGTATGTGAGAAGAAAAAAACAACATGAGAGAACATGGTGAAAAACCCAGATTGTATAGGTGTATATGTGTATAGGGTAATAGCGTATGGCGTATGGCGTATATGGATTCAAACAGAAAAAACAAAAACGGAAACAGAAACAGAAACACAGAGACAAAGACAGAAACAGAAGAAAAAGAAAAACATTGTTCTCTATTTTTCCAAAACACTACTTTCATATCAACTCACGACTTCTACCATGTGAGTCATGTATCACATTTCACTTGATATTTTACTTTTCTGGGGTATAGTTGGATTGGACGATATTTTCAAACGTTAACTTTGTTGAAGTGATTCTTGGATTCACTCGTGCTTTGTAACTGATTATGAGGTAGGAATATGATTTTGACCGTTCTTGTAGGAAAGGAAAATGTGGATGGTGTGTGTGTAGGGGGGGAGGCGAGAGAGGGCGGAGAGGGGGGGGGGGGATTTGTGATCTCGTTATGGATTTGGGAGGTAAGGTAGGTTTGTTTTTGAAGGGAAGTGATCATGTCTTTGCTATCGATTGAAGAGGTATGAATACCGGTGAAGAGGTATGGGATACGGTCGATGTTCTCACGAGGAGGGGATGTTTTTTTGTTTGGTCTTTATTTAGAAAGTGTGTTTGGTCTTTACTTGGAAAGTATGGATACGATCGATGTGTCTCTGAGAAGCGGTAATCTTGGAGTAATGACAAACGTTCGACATCAAGTGGAAAGGCAGTACTTTAATGGACTGCTCAACCCGTCGGATACGATTGTTGAGCTTTTTGAGATTGATGAACAGGATCTGTTGGTGATCCCACACCTGGTACTCTCATACGTTCCACATCAATCCTCAATTCGGCAATCCCTACTGGTTTAGTACGCCATTCGTCGATCCTGTAAAAGTCAGCACATCGCGTGGGAGATACAAGATCGGAGAGAGTGTGTTTGTATTTGGGAGATATCCAGCCATGAAACTTGCAGTCGGCGGAAAGCCAGGAGCCATATTTTGCAAGAAGGGTGGATAGTGTCCGGCCAGAGTCTCTATGATGTACATGTCGAGAAGCTTGAAGATCTGTGGAGATGGATAAAGAATTGAGAGGGGGAAATCTCATTGAAGAGAGACAACAGAGAGCGGAAGACAGGTGAGACAAATAGGTGTGACGAAAGGGTGTGACGAAAGGAGTGGTGACGAAAGGAGTGGTGAAGAGAGGAGGGGAGGGGAGAGACGAAGAAGAATAGGAAAAAAAGAAACCTCAACTCACCCGCATTCCAATATCCCCTTTCTCCTATGTCCCTCACTGGTCATAGCCGTAACAGCCACAATCTTACATCTTTTCCAACCGTTATTCCTTTCGATCCCTCTCATTTCACTAGCAGCTTGAAACCCATCTTTCCTAGGCATGTTAATATCCATCAAAACCAAATGAGGTCTAAAAGTTGAAAATTGTTGAACGGCATCAACACCATCAACAGCTTCCGCAAATCTACAAGGTGTCCTTTTTAACATTGTAGTTAATATTCTCCTATTAACAGGATTATCTTCAACTACCATCACTCTCAACGTTTCTTCTTCTTCAACTATATTCATCGTTGCTGGAGTTGTATGACGTTGTTGTAAGTCCGGTTTATCGATGGAATAAGGGAAACCAAATTCTATATCATCTGTACCACTTGATGCGCTATTGGTGTTACCTACCACACTGAGTCCCTTGATTGACAACCCTGAAGATTCGGAAGGATTGGATTGATTAGAAGGATCGGATTGTTTTGAAGTGTTTGATCGATCTGAAGGTTTTCGATCTATCAAAGGTGGGTTTGGAGATGGTGAAGGTGAAGTTTTGGAAAGTTGAATTTTAGATTGAGATGGTGATATCGTAGGTGAATCAGAAGTAGGTAATGGATCAGTAGCTCTTTCACGTAACATTATAGGACGTAATGATGGATGTGAATGATCTTCGATATCTGAAATAGATTCTTCATCTTGAGAGTAGTCATTACCCGGTTGATCGTAAGGAGATTGTAGTGGAGAAGGATGGACGATTTCTTCTGGTCGTACAGTACTTCTCGAAGCGGAAAGTTCCCCTCGGGATACAGTCACGGTAGCACCAGAACCAGAGGTGAGGGTGGACATGGTAGATGCGACTCTATCAACGAACGAAGGCCGAGTGAGAGGACCACCTGTTACTGGGGAGATATAAGTCTCTTTCAACTGAGGCACTTGGTCAGGTGGTGGTGGTCGAGTGATATGATTGATGATACTAGGTCGTAATGGTCGAGTAAGTCGAGTGATCACAGCAGATTGAAGATGTTCCAAACCGGGGGTTACCGCTTCGTTTGGTGACTCACCCAATGTCAATGGCTGGGGAGTATCGGTAGGTTTACCCAGAAGAAACAACTGAGCTTTTGGACGTGAACAAATCAACATGTTGCCCAATTGTTCGGCGGTGAAATGTCCCTCGGGTACGATCAAAACGGAGGCGTAATTTAGTTCGGTGACCACGCGACAAAGACGAAGCTTGAGTTGTCTGAATAAACTTTTGCCCACTCGACGAGTACCGGAATCTTTCGCTTCGCTAAACCCGGCCAGATAAATGCCATCTTGTCGGACGGGGGAAGGAGAACGAGCATCGTCCACGTCACCTTCATCTCCACTGAATTCTTCTTGACCACTGTCAATGTCATCATTGATGAGCTTGAGCGGTGCCTCCACGTGAACCAAGGTACCTTTCTTCAATGTCGAGTTGATTGCCAACGTTCCACCGAGGATCTCAATCATCCGATGAGCCAAGCCGAGACCGAGACCGGAACCAGGCATGAAAGGATCGGCTTTGGAGAACGGACGGAGGACTTCGTTTTCGAGAAACTCTGCAGACATGCCTCGACCAGTATCTTTGACATCGATGGATACGACGGACATTTGGATGGAATTGTCGTAACCTGCTGGAAGGACGACATCGTGAGAGATATCTTGGACGGTGATGTGGATATGACCTTTGTCGGTAAACTTGCAAGCGTTGTGGATGATCTTGGTCAAAGCCCTGAGCATCAGTCTCCCATTCATGCCCCATGTGACCGTCCCCGCCTTCTTCTGCCCTGCCAAGAGCAGCCGGCAAAGAATGATTGAAGAGCAGCTCGAATGCTGTCCGGGTTTATGTAGATTACAAGGAAGATGACGAAAAACGCGACGAGGAAGGGGACAGAGTTGCTCACAGAACGGAGAGAAGGGATGAGAATTGGTATCAGAGAGGAATGAGAGACGGTTCACAGGGAGAAAAGGGCGAGAGATAAGACCGAAACCAGCTCACCTGGTCAACAACCCCGCATCAGCAGTCAACAACCATCTTCCCCTGTTCCTAGGTAATACCTCTATGATAATCTCAACATCTTCTAAACCTTTTGCTCCTGTCACTCTACGTGATTTACTTTCAAATTCCGCTGCTTCCTGTGTGATTTGCTCTATAACATCACTCAAATCCGTAGCTTTACTCGGATCGTTGATCCCTCCAGAATTCTGACTGGAAGAGTGAGTTGCGGAATGACTGACGTCGAGAGTATCGGTGATGTTTTCCAATATACTACTCAACGCTAAACCGTTGGCTTCGATGATCTCCAATTGAGCGAGAGCTTCTATTCGATCTTCGATCGACATGAGTAGTGGTTGAGACGGAGCGTAGGAAGTTTGAGATCCTTGATTGAAAGTCGAATGAGAAGTGGGACTGACGAGTGGGGCAAGGGAAGGAGAAGAGGGAGCTGATGGATGTAAAGCAAATCGGAGTAGATGAGCAGCATTGTTTATTTGATGTAAAGGAGTACGGAGTTCGTGTGAAGCGGCGGCGGCGAATGTGAGTTGAGCTCGTTCGACGTGATGTAGCTTTTCTTTCATGACTGGGGGTTAGCACAGAATCTCCTGCCACATTCAAGATGTCACGTATGACTACCACAAAGACCCGAACGGCTCGGGGTCAATTTGGCCGTGGACACGGAACAGTTTCATACCAGCTACCAGGTTTGACAGCAGAGCAAAAGAGGTCTCGTGGGAAAGGGGAATTTGAGGTCAAGATCAGGGGGGTCTGAGGTTTACAGAGGAAGTAAAAGTTGACACACCTGACGCCAATAAGCTCCCCGCGATAGTCTCCACGAATTGTAAAGCTCCACTGGGGTACGAATACAACGGATCCGTCCAACAAGCCACGATGGCAAAAGCAACTTGTCCATCAAACCCAAAAACGGGCATGGCCAGAGAGGTTTCAGTACCGGGAGGCATAAGATGATTGATGGATTGCGCGATACCTTCGCTGTCGTCTCGCATGTACCACACTTTGCGTGTCTGGGATCAGTGAAATCCATCTTGGAGGATTGGAACGGATTTCAGCTGAGGAGCAAGAATGTCTTCGGTGGAGATACTTTCATAGACAGCGCATGAAAACTCGGAACGACCAAAGTTCGAATATACCACAACAGGAAGAGGACAGTGGGGCACGGGGGGTAGGGATTTCAAGAGAGAAGCACAGACGGAGTGTGAACAGCAGAACGAAGAAATATGAGAGTAGGGCACAAAAACGGACTGAGGGCGGAGGAGGGAGAAATTGGAAGAGTGAAACACAAACACAGTGAAGAGGCCGAAGGCAGAGATCAAACAGTGACAACAGCCAGGGAAAGGGAGAAAGGTGACGGTTGAAAAAGAACACGAGCTGGGGTAATCACTCACCTTGACATTACTAGCGATAAACTCTGCGATAATCTTACGAGCTACTGGAGAAGTACCAAAATTGAATGCGAAACCATCATGATCGCAACTGTATCCTAGTACTGCTAACTGATTATCAGCGATTGCCATTGTCGACTCCTCCCATCAAGTCCTTCTCTCCACATCTTCCGATCCGGTAAAACCAGCATCTACGACCCACATCTGTCACTTCGGTAAGAACCAATATCAACTCAAATACAGATGGCAAGCCCGAGCGGTTCGAATACAGATGTAGGGGCTGGGGTTTGACATGAGAGTGTCGATAGCGAAAGACTTTGAGGAGAATGAGGTAATACGAGTAAAACATGGATCCAATAATAATCTGTAGGAAAATGATTCCATCATATAAAAGAACCACTGAAGAGTACTGAGGAAAAATCCCAAGAACACGATGGAAACAAGAGGCAAAACTCAAAGTCCAATTTGGATAGAATAACTCACAGAATCATTTCCGACATCCTGAGGAGCTTTTTTAGATTTAGGTACATTCTTTGCTCCTTCAGGAATGAATAAAATCTGAGGAGTTCTACCAGGTGCCATCGGATCCGTTACAGCATAAGTTTGTCTTGCTCTTTTTTGTTCAAACGGTTTCGTATAACCTTCTTCTTCTAAACCCATACCCCAACCTGCTGTACCAACACTATCAGTTCCAATACCTCCGATAAAACTGCTACCTGATCCTGAATTACTTCCTGTCCCACTCCCACTGACACTACCACTTCCGAGAATACTATCACCAGTTTTGATTCCATCTGAAGGTATTTGTTTGTTCGTATTCATTGTACCACCTGATCCAGTCGGGAAAGAATTTTGAGTGTGTCGGGTTGAAGAACCTCCTGTGGAAGTGGTTTGATAAGCTGGAAAGAATAAATGAAATTGTGTTAAATCCACACATGCTACAGCATAAGCGTCGAGAGCATGACGGATTTCTCTACACGCTTCGTCATATATATCTAGTTGTTCATTGGATTGTCGACTATCAGCACCTTCATGACGTTTACCACTATCGGATGAACTTGTAGTGGTGGTGGTTTTGGAATTTGCAGAATGACCGGCTCTTTCGTTTGGACGACTTTGTAAAGATCGTCGGAGGAAATCGACAGATACTAATTCGTCAGCTCTGATTGGTGGTCCAGCTAAAAAGCGTGTCCAGTATATATGGGCGGAATGATATTACTTACTTTGATGAAGTTTGGCAGATTCGACAGAAGCTTGTTGACTGAACAAAAGCTCGAGCTATCAAACGTCAACATTATCTCTTATATTCCCAGTCAAGCTTCGAATTCGGTGTAGGAGGTACGAAAATAACTAAACTCACCTCGCTGATGACACATTCCGCCAGATCCTTCAATAATAATCTCTCGGCCTCACCAAATTGGTCCTCCGTCTTAGGCTTGTCATCAATGACACACAGACTACCAATCACAGAGGCCTTAGGACCCGTTCCGATCCTCAAAGGTGCACCTGCGTAAAACTGGATCAAACCTTTTCCCTCATCAACCAATGGGTTCTTGGCAAACCTCCAATCATCCGCAGCGTTGGGTACAACCATACACTCGTCTCCCGTCCCCATGATGGTATGACAACAAAAGCTCACATCCAACTCTGGCGTTTTACCAGCTAATCCTACTTGGGACAGGAAGATCTGTCGGTCTTTTGCAATGATGGACACTACGGCGATGCGGGTTTTGAACATGTTGACGGCGAGTCTGGAGAAACGATCCAAAGCGGCATGTACGGCAGGGTTGGGCTTGTCGAGACCTAGACGACGAATGATACGCAGACGTCTACGCATGGCATCTGGTGGTTGACGAGGGGCAGGGAGATAACCATGAGTTTCGTAGAAAGCTCTAACACGAGCTCGTTCGGCAGAAATGTCATAAGTGAGATCGGGTAGAGAGATAGAGGTTGAAGTGTTGGTTCCAGATTCTAGTAAGACGTCCATCGAAAGACGACCTCCTATTGAACCAGCAGCGCTTAGAGCTGTACCACCGACGAGACCATTGGTCACCTCTCCTGTAGCCAAAGCCGCAAGACCATGACCATGACCATCGTTTGATAGTCCACGTAAAGATGGTAATGAGCCTCTTGAACGAGGTCTTCGAGGAGCTTTACGACGGACAGGTACGTTGAGACCGTTATCCTCATCCGATCCAGTCCCAGATTCGACACTACCTGGACTTGCTAATTCCGCCCTCACTCGATGACCAGATTTACGTCTACGAGCTTGTTCCCTTTCCTGAGCGGTTTTAGGACGATCTTGATTATCTTCTTCCAAGGCAGCTGCGATATTTTGTTCATCGTCCAACTTGCGCATATTGGCATGAGAAACAATGTTTGGAGTATCATTGGGTCGATTCAGTTCGACTTTAGCAGGGGAACGGAAAGGACTGCCAACTGTTTGATCCGGGAGATCTGCAGTAGCGATATCTGGTATTTCCGGATCTTGGTTTGATACTCCAGGAATAGGAGTGACACTCTCTGATATTGACAAGGGTGATTTCAAGTCGGTAAAAGATCCAGAATCATCGAGGGGAGGGATACGAACACTGGCATCGGCAGCTCCTGTGTCAGATAAAGATTGTGGCGAGGGTTGCTGCACAGAAGCAGCATTGCCCTTGGGGGTTTGTTCGGTATCGGTAAGAATGGCGACTTCAGAAGAAGGAGGATTGGGTGATATAGGTTTCCAATCGTCTTGTAGTGGTGGTGCTGGTTGATCCGATGATGGATTGGGACGACCTAGGGAGAAATTGAGATTATGAAGGTTACCTAGGATGTAACTGTAAAAGATAAGACGCGTTCACCTAAGGGGGGGGGAATGATTCGAAGCGGGGATAGTCTAAGAAGAGAGTGAGGTTTGTGTGAGAGGAAGGGAAATGAAAGGATCATTTGAATGGATAGAGGAAGGGCAGTGTAAAATTTTGGGTGTTTTTCAAGGTGAATCAAAGAAGGCGTTTCAGAAGTAAGAGAAGGGTTGTGAGGGTAGTAGGTATGTAGGGAGAGGAAGAAGGGGGGGGGGGGATATACGACTCACCCCGAAACACAATCTATCCAATCTTCGACATTGGAGTCTTTGGACCGATTGGTACACCACGATCATCCAGAGATATACCTTGGAGGGATTATCATTCTTGAAGCGCGCACGAATGCACCCTAGAACGGGAGATTGAAAGTCTACATCAGCACGTATACCGCGAGGTGTCTGAACGACTATGGGGGATGTCATGTTGGATGATAGTCAGCGGTGGGTTCGTAGTAGTAGAGTAATTTGACAAGTTGAGATCAAAAGGATATGAGAATAAAGAGATGTAAGAACTAACTATCTTACTGGGGGATACCTATCCATCTGAGCTATATAGATATTTCGAACAGGGGTGGCGTGACAATCGTACGTGTGAAGATGTTTATTGTTATGTTGTTATGTCTTACCCTTCTTGGTGGATGTTTCCAGTTGTGGTATGAAGAATGATAGTCACCACTTGTAGGTGTTATAGATGTAATATGATCAAGATGTTTAATAAAAGTTTGTACTCAGAGTTACATTCGAAAGAGGAGGTGGGGGAACGGGGGGGTGAAAGTATGTTTACGTAAGATTTAGTAGATTAGCTCGGTTTGGAAAGATTCCAGTGGAAGGATTTTGACCATGACCCTGAAACGCCACCTCTTCGTGGCGGTACAAACGTGGCACTTGAACAACAAAGGAACGTACCATGATACATTTCCACTTTCTACACACAAAGATACGGAGATACCAAGAAACATTCCTAGACTGGGAAGTTTACCCCCTGGTAACGTAGGTAACGAGGGGAAAGTAAAAAAGGTGATTTACATAAACAACTTTTCACCAGGAACCCCTAGATTAGAATAATGGAAGTATTGATGAGATCCTTTGTAGATTTCTAGAACAATGCCATCGACATTCAAAATGTTTTCACCCTACTTTCAACGTTTCTCCCTAATCAAACAGAAACGGGAAACTCGGAGTGACGTCAAAGGAGGTGTTTAGGGGGGGTGAGAATATACCTATTCTTTGAATTAGAGCTAGTCCTTCACTCTATCTTGTATCGGCAAGTTCTCTATCATATTGGTATATTCAAACGCTCGGACTTGTCTGACATAACTTTGATCAACCATCAGTGATACCATCAATATGGAACCAGAGCCTATCATATCAGAAGATTCTCAACGTTATCCTACATGCATCATCAAGAGTGGGAAAACAGTGAGTCCGTCTCTCATCCGTAAACGTCTTTCATCCTCCCCATCCCATGCTTCTGTTCTTCCCGATCCACTCAACTCGATCGGTGAGAGTATGAAGTTTAACGATCACTTCCATTACAACATGTACTCGTACACATGTCCATCGATCACTTCATGAGTTGCATAACCATAACCATAGAATAATACGATCGATCGATAAACAGCTTAAATCGACTCGACTGACTTTCCAGATCGATCATTTTCCAAATACCACCTTGACGGCTTATCCTCATCTCTTATCGTTAATCTTCACATTTTGTGACAATCCAACTCTTCTTTCCCTTCAATTGGCATCATCTTCTTTCCTTCCTATAGCTTCTCGAATTCTTTATCATACATTATCACCATACGCACCACAAACATATCAATCCTTATGTGGAATCCCACCTCATTTATGTCCTTCTATCAGAACTTCAAAAACATCTTTATTATCCTATACTCGACTATTGGTTTTACGTCCACACGATGCATATCGTTGTCAATCACTTCCTGAAGAACTTGCACCTTTCCCAATCAAAAGTAATCTTCGTACGATCAGAGTGACAAATGTCGATTGGGGTTTACATCCATTACACGCTTGTCCTTTACTATTCGCACCTGCTTCAACGATAGTTTTTAGGAATGTAGAAGGTGATTTACCTTTTGGTTGGTTAGGAGCTATAGGTGAAACTGTAAAAGAAGTTATTTTGGTTTGTCCTCCTACTGCAATGGGATTATGTGTTGCTAAAGGGGTTTATAAAGATGTTATCGGTGGTGGTGTTTCAGGATGGGGTATGCCAAAGTTGAGAAAAGGAGTAAGAGTAAGTGTGGTATTTAGACCGGGTGAAGGGAAATGGGGAGGAGGGGAAGGGGAAGATGGAGAAGGAGGAGAAGAAAGAGATTGGGAAGGTGTGAAATGGATGTTATCTCCCGGAAGAGATAATGTAGGTAGCCCCAGGGTATGGGATGGGGAGAAGAAACACGTAAGGGTTATAGGAATGGAGAGGTTCGTTCCTTCTAAAGTGAGTATTCTCTTTCTTTCTTTCTTTCTTTTTCAGACCGATTTATGACACCTTCTGCCCGCTCTTTTCCGCTTGGTTGATCCATCATATCCGACCTAACTCTCCCTCTCTATCGTGGGCCTGAGATGGATCATCCGAATATCAGCAACAACCCAGGGACCATACTCGATTCTGTGCGAAAAGAATAAACCATATGCCGGTAGTCGTCGGAAGTACTACATGTGGAGAGGGACACCACTAGAATAAGACTTGAGAAAGTGAAAACATCTAATGACAGTTCACCCCACTCACACAAGACCCCCAACTCTCCTGCATCAAAGAAGAACAAAACGATCAAACAAGGTTAAACCAAATGAAATCACTCATGTCTTCCATATGGGATATCACAACCATCGAATGGATGACGTTGAGGGAAATGAACTTGGTCGAAATGGCCGATGCGTTCGATTCTATCGAACTTGACAAATTGAGAAAATATCAAACTTTCCTTTCTTCTTCTCGTCTTTGAACAGAGTACCTTATGATATCTTGACAATCACCCCAAAGTAGGTATCTCAAATTCCGTGTGTCATACTTACAAGATTAGCGAAAAGTATGAACTTTTCTACTCATATGTATATCCCTTCATATATATCTTATCCAGAAAGAATAGATTTGTAGAATGTACCATAGTATCATGCAGATCTGAATGACATCCTACCGCAAAGTATCTTCTTAGTGAATCATCGGATCGTCGATCGTCGAAGAGCTCGGAAATTGAGTCAAGCTCATCTTCAAGTTAGTCGAAGATATTCTCCACTTGGATACCTCCTGACATAGTACGATGTCCAGGCTACATACTTATTAGAAACTGTACACATAGTGGACGTTTAGAGTACTTGACAAAAGTGCAAAAGATGATATGAATCATTTCATTCCCAACTAATCACTCAAAGATGTGATATAGCCAGCTGATAAGATCCATCCCGACTTATCCGGATCTACGATACATCTTCAAGATACATATCTCCATATCTCTCGGATCTATCCATTTCTTTGATATACGTATATCTTTTCAAGTTGTTCCGTTATTGATATACGTACATCTTTCAAATATATCCATCATGATACCTTTTTTTACGGAATAAATGATCCGAGTTACCCGGATCACCTTTTACATGGACTGCTCAATCTTTCCTTTCTTACCTATTACCTCAATCAACAACCTTTTCTTACCTACGAATGTCAAGTATCTCGGATCATAACCTGATCTCATCGGGCATCTTCACTGTCTTGACTCGTAGTGAGGAGTGCTGTCAATTGGTTCAATGAGTGTTAGTATGGTGAGTAAGATAGATTTACATATCATCAAGACAGAACAAAAGTTCGAAAGGTAGTTTCTTCCTACCATCCCTTTAGATTCTTCCTTCTTCCTTCTGACCCATGAGTTCCATGCTTACCTATTGAAGAAACCTCATGATACATATTTTACTAGATTATTCTTGTTCCTTCATCTTACCAGATTGTCCACTTTTTCTCCCTTTCACACTCCGCTTCTCAGATCCCAAATCTCCTCAGTATCTTCCTTCCTCTCTAAATCCCTCTCTCTCTCTCTCCCTCCCCCCTCTCTCTGTCCCAAGTTTATCCTCCCTGGAATGAGAATCTTTCATGTACAGTACTTTAATCTCCTTCCTTCTTACATTCTTCCTTCCTATCTTCATATCAAAGTCCTTCCCAAACATAATCGTACCTATCCAATCTCCCACCTCAATCTTTCCAAACCATCTTACACTTCGACCAAAATCAAGTCGATGAAGATCTCCTTTTACGTTCCTGATTCATCGACCAACCCCAAAACTTCGTATTCAAAGTTACGTTATCGAAAACTCTTGACAACCTTTCGACTTTCTCGGTCCTTCTTCATCAGAAGCTAGGGGAGTTTTCGATATTGTAGATCGGAAAAATCGGACTAACAAGATCCGACTGATTCGGCACCTTTGACTCTTGATTTTCGCCCTTTGACCTTTGAGCTTTGATCTTGGGATTTTCACTTTGGAGAAAGTACGAGATTGTGAGATTGTGAGATTGTGAGGGTAAGATACAACGAGAATATGAGACGTTCCTAAGTAGATTATCTAAGGATATCCTTTATCTAATCGATACTAATGATAGATGGTAAAAGGACCTGCCTTGAAATCTTGAATCTACGTACGAATCATGCGGGAGATCATTGCATCTCTTGCATCCCTCCTAGAGCTTTTCTTCGTTTTTCGAAGGGGAAAAAGGTATATAAACTTTTCTGATCGTATGAGAACCCATCTCAAAAAGTTTCATCATCCACCTTTGTCAATTTCCTGTTCGATATATCCATCCACCAACGACATAAATATTAAAGTACCCCTCCCCCTCCCTCGACCACTAAACAGACACGGTTCAGATCTTTGTCTTCAACGAATACCTCATACAACTCTCGTGGAAATTTAAATTACTCGGATCGTTTATAACCTCACTTTCAAGCTCAAAAGAAAATGCCTGGAATCATCACTAAACCACACCTCGACATGGTTCGGGCGTACGATACCAATGGTCTCTTAACACCTATATCCCCAAATGTCGGCTCAGGATTCCCACATCATGGTAAAAACATTTCTTCCGTATTAGAAGAAATGGATTGGACTCCAACAACTACAAAAACATTCGAAAAAGTATCACAAGATGTCCCAATGACACCTATTTCTCCACTCATTCAAAAATCCAATTTCCCACAACCTTTCACGTCGATAGAAAACAAATCCGTTTATTCCATCGATACCATCTCAGCCGAACCAAAGTTGATATCCGAGCCATTCTCCGAATTAGATAAACTTAAAAGAACATATGATTCCAAAGATATCTTCACAACTTTAGAAGATTTAACAAATATTCGTACACTTATCATCTCTTCACATCCTACGACACTATGTTCGACTTTATCTTATCTACCCAATGTTCTAAATCTCGACACACTCCATTTTGTTCTTCCTCCCGGTGGAACTTTCATTTTCACTCATAATCATTTATGTCCTCTTGGATTATCCTGTATTTTCCGTCATTTAACAGCGAAGAGAATTATCTATCATAATTCTGTCATTCATTCTTCAGCTTGTCATTTAGACCATCGTGACTTTCCCTCGGGATGCGAGAAATCGGTTTATATGTTAGATACTAGATATCATCAACCTGGAAGTCTTTTGTTGAAAATGTTACGTCGATGGAGTAAGAATTTAGGAGAAGGGAAAGAAGTAGAGTTTGTGATACGTCCTTGGCTCGAGAGAGGTGCTGAGAGATCTCATCGTTTGAAGTTGAAGGCGATCACTTTGGGGGAATATATCAAGGGATATCAATTCCGTGTGAAGGAGAGTAATTGGGATCATGAGGAAGAGGAGGAGATGGAGAAAGAAGAAAGAGAACGAGAGGGGAAGGGTTTAGGGAATGGGAATGAGAATTGGTTAGGAAGAACAGGTGTCAAGAAACAAGAAATGGGATTGATAAGTATGGAAGATTTGGAAATGTTAGTTTTGAACGATATGGTAGGAGGAGAAGGATGGAAAAGAGGTGGAGTGATCGATAATTGGAAAGAAGATAAATGGACTTCGTCGGAAACTTGGGATCAAGTTAGGGTTTTAAGTTGGGAATTGAGAAGATATCTTTCCACGGACGAGGAAGATTGAACATGAAGAAACGAATGAAGGAGATGATGATAAAACTTGTATATAATCTACGCTTCTGGATCATGCAGCTCGAATTTGTATGGTCAACCTATCATCTCTTTCATAGAGCATACATAATGATGACTCTTTCAAGTCGCTAGCCTCAAAGTCTTCCCCCCGTTACTTAATTATCCCGTCCTGATCTCGGAACGACGGTAGCATCCGATGAATCCGATTCAAACTCTGAATCTTCAGACCCTTCAGTGTTAGATTGGCTGTCTCCTGTACCCTTGTCGGGTAAACGTCGGATATCAGCAGGTAGAGGAAACCTCGAACGAATCCAAGAATCAGGTATCTCTTTCATCTCTTTCACATCCTCCAGATCCACCTCTTCGAGATCTGATCCACTCCGGATGTGCACAGAATCTCCTTCTGCATCATGGTCAAATTGAACATAAGTCCAATTTGTATCTCTTCGCCCAATGTAGAATGCTCGTTTCTTGGGATCATGCCGACAATGAAACTGAGATGTCCAAGTCGTGGTCATGAAAAGTGTTACGGATCTCATTTCCTTCTCATTCCCTTCCATCGTAAAGATACAAAAGGGAGAATCTTTTGTCCAAATCAATGTCCATCCTTTACTTGGATCATGTTTAAAACTGCGTGGTTTCTGTCCAGAAGGAAATATAATACCTTCAATAATACCTTCTTTCCACTCACCATCTGAAGACTGGTATGTATCTTGTTGAGATTCAACCTCCTCAGGAAGTGACTGTTGATTCCGAGAAGAGTTTGTGACTGTAAACAAGTCTGCAGCGGCCTCTTTTATGTTGATGACTGCTATTGGGTCCAGAGGTCCTACTTGAATACCCTGAAGTAAGGTTCCAGAGTCATTTTCAAACATACTGCAAAACTTATCCTTCTCATTCTCTTCCACAACCAAGATCAATTCTCCTTGATTCACCTCATGTCTCAATTCCTCCTCTGACAGCATAGAGCCAGTGACAGTAGAGTCGTTTTCCTGAGAGATCACATGGGAATCGGGTGGATCTTCTTCAGAGATGCTGTTGAAGTTATAAGTGGAACAAATGATAGTTGGTTCTTCCATATTCGCCTCAATCAGTCGAGCTATAGATTTGGCTTGGGGAAAGTTGGCAGTGAGATCATCAGGAAGTTCTGGAATGTAAGGTTGTTTGGATCCTATCATACACAACTCATACAGATCCTCAAGAACTTCAGGAAACTTATCGTCGTTAGGTAGGAAACACACCACAATAGCGTCCAAGAGGGTTTTAAACCGTGTAGCACTATCATTTGCAGTGTCTTCGGGAACAGGAGCTGATGTAATGTCTGACATGATGGATTGCAAGACGATCGGAATGAAACTACTAATGTGAGAGAAAGAAGATCTTCCATCCTGCTCATTTTATTATAGTAATCTTCTGAGCTTAGTACAAGCACCCAGTCTAGAACCTTTCAACCCTCCTTAGAGACTGTTCTCTCTTACGGATTGAAAATCCGCCGTGGTCCCGCGCACGGACCCCAAATGGTAAGAACATCCTGAATGGAACGGCATGGCTATCACATAGATCACAGATTTTTCCCTTTGTTACCAAATCATTGTATTGTTGCCATTGATTATGTGATTTATTCAATGAGGACTACAGTATGTGATGTATGGTCCAATGATGATCATTCATAGCCGTCAACCAACATGATCAATCGTGATGAGTCAACCATGAGTACCAATCTTCACCTTTATGTCAAACTTGGCTCCTTGTTCGTCTCAGGTTCATGGTTAAGTGTGAGAGACGAAGAAGTATAGAGCTGAGTAATATAATCAAGATGCATGATCCTACTCCCTCTACTTATGAGCTCCTGAGGTCATGACAGTATATACTAAATATGTGAGAGTGATGGGCGGATTACTTCAGCACTGTATGTACATATCTGGTTCGCTTACACCATCTGGGGTGCCAAATGAGCTCAAAAGTGGTAGGTCTAGCTCTCTCAGTTTGGATTCGTTGGCAGACTTCAAAGAGAGAGGCCCAAGGGAGAGATTGGAAGTATCAGGTGTGGCAGGCATACTGGCAGTCTGTTCAAAGGGTGAATTATCCAGACTTGCACTATCCATGGACCCCGGTGATTCCTCGAAAATATTAGACAGCTGCTGCAAACGATTTAGGCTATTCACGTCTTCGGATATAACCTGCCAAGATGAAGTAACTTTGACGGGTGCTTGAGATAAGATGGGGTTGTCTACCCTATCTTTCCAAATATGTGCTGGGGGATAGTCAAACGTTTTAGAATTCCAGCTGGAAGGAATCTTTCCAATTGGTGACAGATCTTCCAGCTTTTCAAAACTTTCCACTACTTGTCCTTGAGTATTAACGAGGCAAATGATGCTCGGTTTGTCCCCAACTTTGTGAAAAATGAGCCAATCATTGTCTTCTTCTCTTCTCAACAGTGTTATCTGTTGTATCTCAGAGTTCAAGTAAAACATCAAATGTGGAACACGGGTTGCACAACTTGCAAGTTGCACCGACCATCCAGTCTCCTCCTCAGCCAGATTACCAATGGACAGATACAATTGATCACCATCTCCCCAGACTGAACCACTTCCGTCTATTGGATTAAAACGGAAATGTGTTCGATTGCCATCAGGATTTAGAATGGATCCCATACTTGGTGCGGCTTCCCAATCTCTGGAAACCTGCTCATTCTCTTGAATCACCGGTGGAGGTATGTGAAGTGAAGAGGATGATCGATCAGATTGACTGGATGCCTTCTCGGTTGACCTTACAGCTTGAACTACTGGAAGGTAAAACCTATTGTTCAAGGCGGTCTGTTTGGGTGAAGGTGTGTACTCAGACTGAGGATGTGTCTTACTCCCTATTTGGGATGGTTCAACTGCAAAAGTTTGTATAATATTCACCATGGCTTCATTCCCTGAAATGAGTTCCTGAGTACCTGGAAATAAACGTTGGAAATGAAGCAGAAAGTCCGGTCCATCATGAAGTTTCATGGAACAACTCCCTTTCACCTCTTCTATCCTCAGGGCGTGTGTCTTGAATTGTACTATTTTGCCTTGACATTCACTCTCAGAGTCCGACTTGTGTGCGTGACCAAAGCTTTCCAAGTTTGAGACTTCGGCTGCTGGTATGATCTCATTGACAAGCGTCTTGAACCTCTCACTCAAACAAGAGAGCGTCGCATCCTGCATCACACACTCGACAAGCCTTGACATAAGCCAACCTGACGGGGGGAGATGAGTACATAGATTTTTGGGGAGTCTTTGTATGTCAGGTATTGCCTTGCCATTCGTACATGCAGTAATGAAACTATCACGCAGGCTCGGAGCAAGGAGATCGTCGGGTACCAGAATATGGAGAATCGAAGAGAGCCATTTCAGGCTTTCGACTCCAGTCGGATCGTAGGGGAACTCATGAGAATGAGACACGCTTCGTGGAGATACCATATTGATAAAGCAAAACGGTCAATTCGGTAGAAATAGAGGTAGGATAGGTGAGAGAAATGTAAACATGAGAAGGGTTTATATTACTTTTGAAGGGAAATCTATGGAAAAATTCTTAGAAAGGAAGAAAACCTCTGATTTTGACGGGCCGACCCGCCCATTGGCCCGCGCGCCCGGATCTCCATGGGAAACTCGAGATGAACGGAGCAGGTCGTGAACCGTGAACGTTCTTCCCATGGATTGATAAGTTGCCTTTGGACTACGCAGCTAATTTCCCATCAGGCAGACCCGTTACAAAATCGCACGAAGCTGAGACCACGTCGTCCGCGCGGAAAACTCTCCCGTCGGTATGGGGGGAAGGCGATGTGGTGAGAAGGAAAGTCGTAAGCTCTTCATGAAGGCAAGGCTATCTAAAGATGGTCCTTATCCCCGACTCAGAGATACCCAAAATTTAGAGGTGGAGTTTTATGGAGTACACCCCTCCTTATCCCTGAATAGGAGGTCAACGCCGTTGGAGAGAAGGGATCAAGCGAGGATCATCCGCTGGAAGTCTCGAAGGTACGCCCAGATATTGATCATTGAGCTCACGGGATATCGTCAATATTGGAACCGAAAGAATCTACACATGTATCAAGAGAGTTCAATTGTACAGAGCCCAATGGGTTGTAACCTCCGGAATCTCTTACAGGGTATTGATAGGATTACTGGTACCTACTGTATCTTTTCCACTCTTTTCTGCTCTCCTACCACCCCTATTTTGTTCCCCCACATCACCCGGTAGTTTTCCTAGAAGTCAGTGTCCCTCATCTATCTGTTTTACTTTGCGCTTCTTCCTCATATCCATTTCTGCCTTCATTCTGTCAGATCTGTATGACTCCGATCACCGACCCCAATAGAGAAGCAGTCCATTTCCATAGTCCCCTTATCAAAAGTATTTTGCGTTCTTTAGCATTATCTTTATCCTCTTGAACTCAATAACCTTTTAGATCTATTAAATCTTCTATGTACATCAATAGGTTTCTTCCCTACATCACCATCTACAGCGAGCGCACAAGCGACTCCCGCTATCTACAACGTCTGGTCAGTTGAAATCGAAAGATATAGTAATGCATAAAGACATGAAAGAACGAACGAGGAGAAGAGTTTCAACGCGCGTAGCTTAATCGATTCCTCCAATATGGTCCTGACAGGTATACCGAGCTTCCATTGGGGTGATCAGTTGGGAAGTACCGTGTCATTTGACCCAACTGACCCTTCTTTATCATCTGTTTCTTCATCAACAGTTTCTTCAGTAGGTGGTGAAGAGACTGTCCCTGAAGTTTCTTCAACCAATGATCCTGCTGCATCGTTGAGTGACACGCTGCTTGACGTTTCATCAATTTGGAGATTGAGATCAAGAGGGATAGGTTCTGCTTCTTCATACCAGGAATCAGGTATTCCATACAACATTTTCACCGAACTCAATTTAGTCTTCTCAAGTACTCCTTCCCGTTGAAGACACACCTTGTCTTCTTGTGGAGAATGTTTTAACTGAATAATATCTCCGTTTTCTTCCCTTCTCACAAATGTAAATTGTCCAGACTCTAAGTAACAATTCAGTAGAGACGCATGACACTCATTTAGAATTGAAAGGACTCTTATATCTTCACTTACATCAATTGATGAAATTTGTAATCTTGATTCGGGTGACAATATCTGTGTTTGGCCTGCTTCCGGTACATACTTAAAGTTGTGTGCTTTTTGTCCTTTTTGTTACTCCTTGAATGGTCCCTTTCTGCCACCCATTAACCATATGATCTTGGACAATTTCCAAAGGAGGTTGCTTTTGTTTTGAAATCAACTGAGTATCCTCTGATGGATGAGAAGGTTTTGCAGTTGATTCTGGATTCTGAGTGGAAGTGACCTCTTTTGCAGCTGTTTGATCAAATATATGAGTTACACTTATCCTAGCTGACAAGTCCTGAAGTTCTTTTTGACCCCCTTTCATAAGACGTTGATATTGCAGTAAGATTTGTTCCCCTTTGCATAAGTGAAGAGAAAAACAATTATCTCCAGTTCCCGTTATAGATAAAATTAAGTCTCCGTGTGTAGTTGTGTAGCATTCAGTATTCCCGGACAAGGGCGTCGACGTACCCCTGCCTTGTGGATCACCTTCGGACGTATCAATTCCAGCTTCGGCAAGGTATGTCCTGATGCGACTACTGAATTCTTCCCCGGAGTTGATGATACATGGAAATTTCATCATCTTACTGACTGTATCAATCAAATCTTCGGCTTCGGGCACGTAGATCTGAAGAGTATCCGGTAACCTGGCAATTGAAGGTTGTAGTTCTTCCCCTAAACAAGCGCTACGAAACTTCGCCAGAGCATCCGCCTCTTGGTCATCTTGAGGTATTTGAGGTATAAAAAGCCAAATGCTAGATTCTAAAAATTCCAGATCCAATGATGCATTGGAGAAGGTGGACCCCAGAGTAGAGTTGGACATGGAGGCGTTCTTGGCTTTGATGCTTGATGTCATGCTAAGACGAGAGATGTGAGTTGTGAAATGAGAAATGAGAAATGAGAAATGAGAAATGATATTGAGGAAGAGGGTTTTATGCTTGTCAAAAGATGTTTATCTGAGTTTTTCTTTCTATTGAAAGGTTATCCTCTGAATTTGACTCTCAGCAGTCATGGCGCACGGTCCCCAATGGGGAAGCAAATTGAATGGAGTGAGAAGCATGAGAATTTGCTAACGTAGCTTTCTCAGGCTCGTCATACCTGTGTGTCCGTCCTGATCGGACATCCTGGACTTTGAATCCGAAGGGAGTGAAGGATTTGAAGGAGAACCCGAGAAGTGGTCTCTAGATGGTCGAATTCTACATGTTATATATTCCTGATGAAGTTATTCCAACTTCTCTGTTACGTCACGGATGGAAGACGTGCCACTTCGAAGTGTCTCGGCTGTGAGCCATGACCCTTCAAAGCGGTACCGAAACCTTCAGCTTGTCACCATCAGATCCGCTGCCATTTTCTTCCTCCGTTGATGTTGACATGTGTCCTGAAGGGTATCTGATAGAGATCAGGGTAGATGCATCGTCACTTTGACGATTCCCAATCCGAACAAAACGCGCTTGTTTTTCTCCCTTCCCACATATTAAGTAGTGACAAGTTCCAGTTGAGTACCATCTCTCCAAATGTCGGCATTTTCTACTCTGGTTCATCACCAAGTTGAACTAGATCCCCCCCTTCCCAGTCTGGCACCTATGATCATCCTTGGTATAAATTGCATTGGGAATCAAGTCAGTGCAATATGCAAGTATAAATGTAGCTACGGGTACAAATACAATATGTACAGTATGCACAATGATCCACTACTGTATTTTTGGTGAAATCCACACGTCTGGAAAATATCCCACTTTGTCCACATTCACCTCTCCTGATCGCCAGTGATCTATTACTGTCTAATGGTTTCTGTGCTACTGTGCAGCCCACTCTGCTGATCACGCTCGTCCTGCTTGTCCTGCTCATGCTGATTAATGTCAGGGGACTGCGCAGCCGTCAGAGTAGAACTGGGTAGGTCTAAGTCGTGAGTAGGAGATGAGGAGTGCTGATCTCGATCCATAATCTCCGGTCCCCTCGCGACATCAGCTGATTCCTGAGCGTCTCCTTGCCTTGAATGAGAGGTACGACGTGTCCCTCCAAGCAATGTTTCTGCTCGATGAGAATTGGATCGTCTGGCTTGGCTCACCGATCCATTTTTGAATACGTTCAAACCACCAGCTCTGACAGGGTGTCGCTGGGTCACAGGGCGTGAGTCCAAGCTGAAACTTCTGACAGGGGTGCTTGACTGCGTTGGCCAGAACTTCTGTTGACTCTCATCGGGATTCTCAGGCAGATCGTCGAACGTGACGATGGGGGGACCATCAAGACATTCTTGTCGCCAGCATTCAGGAATTTGGAGCATGAGCGGAATGGTCATTGGAATCTTGGCCTCTTCATGCTCTACTCTTGTTTCATTATCACTGCCATACTTGTCTGTGACTGTGTTCTCACCAACAGACTTTCCTTGTATGTCTGCTTTGCTATCAGCGTCTTTTGTGACTTCTGTTGCGAGTTTCCTATCATTTGACGCTTTTGACTGTTTTGCAACACGTAGATCAGTCCTCTCACCATCAGTCCTCCATTGTAGCCAACTTCCATTCTGCTCCCTTCGCTGTATAGACTGGTACTGACCGCTTGTCAAGACTTTCAGATGATCCGTTTTAGTGCCTTGATGGGAAAGAGTGACCACATGTTGTGTTTTTCCATCAGCCGCTCTGCTTTCTTGAAATGTTAGACTGAACTCATTGCTCATGGATATTGTAGTCCTTCCATTGAGAGGGTCATGATCAAACTTCATCCGACCTGCACCAGTGGGCTTCCAACCGGTAGAATGTAGAGTCTCCCATCTGGTCTTGTCCTTGTTGTCAGACTTGATTTTGTCACACGCGGAACTTGTCCGTTGTACTATTCGTATGGCAGCCTCCCTTATCTCTGGCTCTTGAGCTTCTTGAGATAAATGATAATAATCTAGCAGTCGGATCCCAGTGGGTTTCTCTTTTCTCTCCACCCTGAACCGTAATGTACTTCCTCTGTCAACTTCATATACTACTCTAATTTTTCCAAGTGAAACCTCTTCTTTACTACTGGAAGGTGATTGCTGAGGGGGGTCATCAACACTTGTGTCCCGAGGGATAATGATGATTGCTTCTGGTGCCAAGGTGCTCTTCCAGGTGTCTAGCTCTGTGTAGCGTTCAGAAGGACCATACCCTAGCAAATGAGAGCGAATAAGTGCTGCTGACTCACCAAATCCGTGAGAATTTAGCCCTTCTGGAAGATGAACAATTGACCTCAAGTACCCTTCACGGACCGCGGATGCGAAGCTATGCAGAAGGACGCGCTCTGACTTATCTTGGGGTAGAAAAGCATCAAGAACATCATTTACAGTCGGTGCTCTGAGAGTGGAACTCCCTGGAGAATCCCCTGGAGGTTCTGTGGCTCGTCTCAACGTCAGCTGTTGCTTGTTGTGTGTTCCCATGTCTCCTCTGAATGCCAAGGACAGTATCTTTGAGAAGAGAGTGAACGATGAAAGTATCAAAACACAGATGAAGAGACAATTATTAAGAAGAGAAGCAAGTCATCCATCCAGAGACCTTTTGAGCTTCTCACCCCTTTCAAAACCTCCACACTATCTTAACTCCAATGGGAAAGTTGACATGAAGGGAAGGGATTAAGGCTCAGCATTCAGCAAACAATTTCACTTCCCTCTACACTGCTTGCTTCCCTTCCCACGGGTCCTCACTTAACCAGCCAGATTGGGAGAATTAGGCTTTCCTCGAGAGAATTTGAGATGCGGGGTGAACTACTTGTGGACGAAACACGGGGGGAAGGATCAAGCCGGAAGGGTGAACATTGGTCACGCTGTTCCGTGCGTTCGGCGATGAAAGTGGCAGATTTCCACCCCGGTGGCACCGCCACACCGAGACCGAAGCCACCAGGCCGAGAAACCCCGCGGGGAAATCTTCCCTCTCCCTCTATCCCTCTCCTTTTCGGGGTCCATCCATACATATCTTGTCTCTCTCCTACAGCGCCATGGATCTCTTGCGGTCGGTTCACTGTCGAGTAAAGGCTCACTCACGTAGCCTGGGAAATTACTATACTCGAAATCTGTCTTGCTTTCTCACAGATCCTTCGGCCGACCGCTGCCTATCTAACCGCCCCCTCGATTGCCCTTTCGTCCGTCTCCCGATGCTATCGAGTCGCATTTATCAGCAAGGGTAGGCAATGACCTCAGAGCTAAACAAAGACGTCATCGCCGTATCGCTGAAGTCTCGACTCTCCCTCACACAGCATGAAGAAGAAGGGAGCGGCTTGGACTTTGACCTCTGTTTTTCTCACTCGCTAACAACAGCGTACACAGGGTTGGAAGCTACGATATGGGCTGTGTAGTCTCAGATCCTGGCCACCTCTGTCCTTACACCTATGTCAACGTCAAATGGTCGGTGTGAAGGGTTCAACGATCTCGGGCTTTGCTAGACCAATCCGCGACATCCTCCCAGCCCCCAGCTCACTGCTCTTCAAACGTGAGAAACTCAGAGATGGGTTGTTCAATCGGTCTCGGATGAAGCAGAACTCCGAGTGATGACCGAGGGATACTGTGGACTATATACTGGGTGCTGAGGTAAGCGGTACTTTTCTCTCATCAAATCTGTTCTGTCACCAATAGGTCAAGGGAGAGTAAAACACCATGGCATCTACGGAAACCACGAAACCGACATTGGAGGCGCAGCTACGCGACGAGTTTTTTGCTTACACAGAAGAATGGGGTGACTATTCATCATCAGAGTGTGAGTAAAGTCATTTGAAGGGAAGACCTGAGCTGAAAATAGACAACTATGGGACAGGGCAATGGCACTGGCACAAGATCTAAGGTTCTCGGTCAGCTTGGGAGCTCGGCGCAAGAAGACTGTTTCAGAAGCTGAGCGCAAAGGTCCGCCGCGTCTCAAGTTCTCACTCGAGCGCTAGCTTCTGCGGTGTATGCTCAACTTATCAGAGGAATGAATCACCAACAGTCCGTTCAGTACTAAGTCTTCCATTTTCTTCTGGAGCTGACTTCACAGGGTCGAAGCCCAGATGACAAAGGTTCTCAAGCAAGAGGAAGGGGGAAACTATGACAAAAGCTCGAACTGGCCATGCCTCTCGAACAATTATACTAATGTTTCTGCAAACGATCTGCGTCCCTCGCTGCTTGCACTCGCGGATGATGGCTCATCCAAGATCGGGTGGGACGGTCTCCTTTCGGCGGCCAATTCTCTGCTTAGTGCCACTACTAAGATTGCAGGACACCGCCATATCCCAAATCACGAAAGCGCTCTTGAGAGTCAGGCGGGCGCGTAAGTTTTTGGTAGGTAGGTTTTGAGGATATCTTACACTGATGACAGGATGGCATTGCTGCACAGGTCGTTACCCTACATACACGTTGTCAATGCCACACCTGAGGACCTGTGTGTACAAATCTTGAATGTTCTGGAAGACCTCGCGCAATCTTCAAAAGCCCGGTAAGTACCCCCTCAACCTGGGTTTGATCGCCGCCACTTTGCATGAAAGTACTCACCGTCAGTCTCGTCATCACGGAACAGGTCCCTTTGAAGTCCTTGTACAGCTCTATACCCCAAAACTTCTCCCACGACCGGTACTTTTTTCGAACTGCTCTTTGAGCGACTGCCTAGTGGAAATATATCGGGTCTCCGCCTCTAGCTCTAATGTCACAGTTGTGAGTAACAACCCTCTCACTCTCGAACCTTCCACATGAAGATTCTCTTTGTCGCTTGAGACCCCGACCCCATCCTTCTCGATCAGGATGGAGTGTCCAATCGGACTCTCAAAGTCGAGTGGATGAAAAGAGGGTCAAAAAGAACGTGAGAAAGTTTAGCCAACTTGATATATCTCCCTCATGGATGTATCATTTGGATAATCACCACACAACCGAACCACCTCGTAAAACCTGCCGTAGTGCTACTATGACCACTATTGACTCAACCAAGACCAAGAAAAAATCGTCACTTCGAAAAGAAATGACTGCTTTGATATCCGATCAGGGTGTGGAGAGGTGAGTATCGCCCACAAGAGAAGCTACAGAGCTGAAGCTAGTGAAATATGGACAAGAGGACTGTCTTTGGCTAGGGCTCGGTCGTCACGAGGGGAAACCATGAGTCCAAACTTACAAGAGAAAGCTGTACTTGAGGTTCTCATGCGGGTCATGACTTCGATGATTTATGTTGTGCTTCAAGAAGGAATGGACAAAAAGACGTGAGTCCAAACTTTGCTTTCCCCGTTGTTAACGTTGATATACAGCTTGTTTAGAAGAAGCACCCAGCTCATGAAGACGGTAGAACGGCAATTGATAGACACGGATAACACCTGGCCCAGACTGAAATCGACAGACGTGGAAATCAAGGGGAATAATCTGGTACTTTCGTTTCGTGTTCTTTTGGACTCTCATCTGGCGGAAGGTATATCGAATGATGAAACGGTAAGACAGGCCGAAGCGATTTTTCAATCGATCGACGATATCAGTAAACATCCGATTTTGAGACAAGTTGAGAGCAAATTTGATAATCATGCGCGAGCGTAAGTAACTTCAGATCTCTCACATGTAATCTTCCGCTGAGTTCAGAACGATGCTTTTGAGTTATACAGCTTTCTCACCATCTACCAGTATTCGAACGGGTGTATTCTCCGACGCATTCGACTATACGAGGACGATGACACTGAATTGCTTGGATTGTTTCTCGAGTCTACGGGAGTCAGTGTGTTGCATGTGAGTTAAAAAGTTAAAAGCCTGGTTTGGCAAAGCTGACTTGGAGTGAGGCTTCTACGTTGTTGGATCTATGCGAACTCGTCCATGCTGTAGCTGAATCACCTTCTATGATCGGCGCCTACGCGTTGTTGAGGGAGAGGAAAGCTATTCCACTACCTGAGGTCATCGTGAAGGCGCCCTCTTCAGACGGCGGTGTAAACGGCCCACAATCTTCTCCTACCTCTGTCAACCCCGCCTACCTGTCAGCCCAATGGGAATCCACTAGGATTACTTCACGTATGAATGGGCCGGATTTGTCTCCATGTAAGAATGGGGAGACTATTGATTGGTTCATGTGATACTTAGGACGGTGATGAATCAGCTTTCATGTTCTCTTTGCTTACCCTTATACACGACTTTGTCTTCTGACTCACCCCGCTAATCACTTTCGTCCAATCTCGTCGTCAAGATGTTGATTTGGGGACCCTTCCTTTCTTCCACATCAACATCACCAACGAGCGTTGTCAAAATTAGCCTTCTCTTTCCATCTACTTCCCACTCCTACCGTACGTTCAACGTCCCTTCCACATCGTCTGAAACTCATGATCACAGATAGTGAGTTTATATGTGTAGCGGTAAAAGGACGGACGTTGACCTCAGAACGACTAGACAAACTATAGTCCCCTACCGGGCATCGAAAACAAGAGTATGAACGGAATGATTTCGGACCTCACCACTTCCTTACAAACCTCCACTCGATAATAGTCGACAGCGGGAGTGAATGGAGAGCAACCTCCACATTTTCATCATACTTTTGACACTTATGACCTCATCAATTCCCACGGCCTCGGTCTATCCTTTCCTCAAACTTCTCTCCCTTCCTCGCCTGGCCGAGGGGCAGAGGGTGCTCCGCGCCATCTTTGACACTCCGTCTCTCCAAGCTAGCCTTCCAATTCGGGCTCCGCCTGGAGTGGCGAGACGTATATTACCTCGAACTCGGACATCCGCATCCTACTATTATCATTTTCTCCCACAACAACACCTCTAATGTCAGATCCGGACTCATCGTTCAACGAGAAGTTCTCAAAGTTGGAAGTGAAGGAAGAACGACGGTTGCCAGTTGATCTTGGATGGCTATCAACCATTTTTGGGGGTGTCTCTGTGGTATCGTAAGTTCTCATTATCTCAAACACGAATGAATACTCATGGTAGAAATCTTTATGACCAAGCTCTGAGGATTTCAGAAATAAATCCCACTTCTCCAGAAGGTAATGAGTGGACTCCCTACGAAATTGTCAGACGATTGGCCAAGTACTTGGTAACCGCTGGGACCTACGCGGCCGCTCGCTTTAATTTGGATATCTCACAGTCAGTCCGTACTGTCAAGCCATACAACTGACTAGCAGATTGCACGAGACCACAAAGCGTGTGATTCCTCTGATTGATGATCCTAGTTGGTATGCTATGCCAGATCACAAAACTGGGTCAATTATCGCCGCTAAAGCATTCGAAATTCACTTCTCAGCAGAACCCCGCCAAAACATGCCCCAATCTGTAAGCTGGATCTTGGAAGCCAGTCAAGAAATCTCTCAGGATGTGTTTTTCTTGGGGGAAGATGGGAATCTGAAGGCGTAAGTTTATCGTGTTTCATGTGATCGTACGGGATACTTTTGCTTGACTTTCAGAGCGATACTGATGTGTGACATGACCATCTGGACCAAGGATGGAAATGACAAGATGTCAGTGCATTCCGCCATTCACAAGGCCCAGTGCAATACCATTGATGCTCTGGAGTTACTTAATTCCCCGGACTGTGACAGGAGCCTCCCAGATGCAACCGAGACCATCATGCTTGCGAAATGGGACTTTGGGTGAGTCATTTTGTCCGAATTCACTGGCTCATTTACAGTGAAAACTCGAGAGAAATTGACAGTTTTACTCAACTACGAGCTGATGTGCTTGCAGCAGCTCATGCAAATCGAGACTATCAGCGGATGAGCACATTCAAATTCCCCGAATACTCTGTGCCTGAACTCAGTACGAGCAATGGAAGTCGATCTGTCAGCTCAGTTGGAACTCCAGATTACACTAGACCTGATAGTGCAATGTCTGGTGATAGACCTCCAGAGGTGATCGTCGCTGGAGCAAGAATAGTTTGTCCGAAACCCATCCCAGCATCAGGAAATGCGGGGCCATTTGAGATTATGATTTCCAATACTGAGTAGGCACATACTTTGTCTGCATTACTTACTGATGCCTTCTCACTGACCTGATCCTCTGATTGGCCTACTAACTTGCGTTATAGTGACTTATATACCAGAGAGAAGTTTCCCCAGTTGCTCACTCAAAGAGACTGTTTGCTCAATAGACATCCTTTCATGATCCCTTCAAAGGAGCTCTCTCCATACTTGATGTCTCATCCATCGCCATCGTCTCATCTTACCATTAGTACATTTAACTTTTCCTTGCATGATTTCTGGAAATCATGATCAGCGACGGTGAGATCTTAGCTGAAATATTGTGTATAATCGATAACAACCCTTCGCCCAGTCTTCTCTTCGGTGCTCCGGTACGTCACCGTCTCCAACTTTTCATCTTTTTTCTCTTGATCTTTTCCCTCTACTTATGCCCACAACCTGCTTGTGATTTCCCCCAATCACGGCATTCCGGTGTATCACCCACTGAAGCCCTGTCATCCTAACCTTTTGACCTTGTAACCTAGTTCACTCAATACGTGAAGATGTGAAGGTGAAGATGAAAGGGATGAAAGAAGTTGCAATACTGATATTTAGGCGATATCGATATCTCAACTCGAAAACAGTCTCAACCTCTCCACTGCATCCTTGGAACCCGATCGAATACTCAGAATTATCCAACCTCTATCAGAAACGTTATTCGATATCCCTCGATATGCTCAATTGAAAGAAATAAAACGAGGAGATTCGATCCAACATTGGGTTGTTTTTACTCCGATTGAAACGAGGCCCAAACCTGTCACGATATCTTCACCTCCCATTGCCAAGGTGTCTATACCGAGTAGGAAGGCAAGTTTGGGCGATCGGTTGAAAGCTGTTGCAGCTGTGAAACAATCCTTGTCTGGAAATCCGGATGAACCCGAAATATCGAGAATACAGAGGGTAGGGATTGATGGACCGGCGTTGATTATGAGTGAAGAGGTCTCGGAGAAGAAGAGAACTTTTGGATCATGGTCGAATTCTCTTTTTTCAACTAGCTTGCCAACTCTGGCTAGTCGTGATAATCTTCAATCGTCCCCAAAAAGTAATGACAAACTTTTTCAACCTCTGATGGAACGACATAGCTTACCCAAAGAACAAGTTCCCAAGGAAATTGCCCGACATTCAAGAGATGTTACACAGTTCAAAATTCAGCGACCTACCACTGCGATGGATAGGGGAATGTCATCGATGTCATCATCAGGTAACGAACAGGATGAAACTTCTGATTCTGAAGGTGCATTCGACTTACAAGATCTTCTCGATCAATCCACTTCTTCTTCATCTCCTACTTCTCCTCTTCGAGCATCCAACATATATCTTAAATCACCAATTGCCCACTCACCACCCTTATCACCCGTCGAGTCGAAAAATGTAAAACCCCCGCCTTCCTTCAATCATACTTCCACATCGGTGATCCCACTTGAGAAACCAGTGAAAGAGAATATGAAGCCAATACCCGAAACTCAGTCAGACGTAGTAGAAGAGGAGTATTTTTCATTCCGTCCGCCTGCTCTCTCACCCATATCATCTCCACCAATTGACAGCGAATATGAAGACTTATCACTTACACCTCCACATCCCTCTTCCTCTAATACGTTTACCGTCAAAGATCAAGATGGACAGAAAGAGGAGCTCGTCAATGTTCCGCTGGAGAATGACGTTTTGGTTGAGGTGGAAGAAGATGGAGAAGATTATTTTTCGTTCGTACCACCAAACCTCACTTCGGATCCCTTGAGTCCAGAGGGTAGTTCGACCTCTTTGGGTCATTATTCGGATCCCCCACCTGCGGTTTTTGAACAAGAATCTCATGATTCGTCTCTGGGTACGACACAAGAGAATGTCAACATACATCGCGCCAGCTCTGTAACAGATTCTTCAAGGAAATTTCCTCTTGAGGTTGACCTTGACTTCCGTCCTCCCAAAACCGAATTTGAGGTAAACTCAACACCAAAAAAACGGTCAATAGCTATTCCCACTCCTCCGTCAACACTCAAATTCTCCCCCGTGCCCGATCGAACCGCGACTCCCGCGCAAGAACCATCACCAACGGTTCAGCTTCCCTTGATGAATCATGGCCAAGTACAAGTACAGGACACCGACTCATCTCCCAATAGCCTCACAGAGGAGGGAAAGGAGAAGAGGGAGAAAACCGAGGAAAAGGAAGAAGATGAGGAAGAGGAAGAAGTATTCATGATCCTCGATTTAGATCGTGGTGTTCAATTACCTCTCTCTGAATCTGCTTCTGCCCTCCCTACCAACCCCCAAGACTCTGCCGGTACAACCCAAGCTTTTCACTCACACTCAGACTTTCCCTTCCACCCACAATCAGCTCAGGGAGATAAACGTGTTAAAAGTATGCCAGACAATGACTCATCATCTAAAAGTGGTCTTTACTTGACTATCAATCCCCTTCATGATCCTTCATCTCAAATTGACGTTACTCACAAACCTTCTTTGACTCTCGAAGATCCAAGCAGTCCACATGGCCAGGACGAAAAGAATATCACATTAGGACAAAGAGAGGATAAAGAGGATATGTTGGTAAGAGTTAAAAGTCCAACTGATCACCAATCTTCATTCTACAGAAGAAGTGAGGGAGAGATGAAATTTGGACAAGATCAAGAGGATGTTCTATCAGATAAGAGTTCACAAAGTGATAATCCTTTTTCTTACGATTTATCTCGATTTGGTTCTCCTACTTCCTCAACTTCGACTTCTTCTATAACATCACCGAATTCCCCAAAATCCCCTAGATCTCGAATTTACACATCTGGTATTGATTCTCCCTCATCAACATATGCGAAAGATCATGGTCGAACTGTTGGGTCGGTTCCCTCGTTATTGAACATAGGCAGAGGAGAACCTCCCTTCTATCATTCATCAAGATTGACTGTCACGGAAGACAAATCGTCCCCAGCGCCTAGTTTCTCGAACTTGGATTTGAACGCGGACCGAATTGTTCGGGTTATCCAACCTCAGATAATTGAAGATCCGAATTGGACGAAGCATCACAGAAAAATGACGAAGGATAGTTTAACGAAGCGGGATGGGAATGGGAATACGGAGGAAGGGGGTGTACACGGCCTAACTCCACATTCATCATCTTTTCACGGAGGACAGGTAGAGGAAGAGAATCAGGGGTTCGAGTCCCTGTCGGAGGAAGACAGACAGTCTATGTTTCAACACCATAAGCGAGAACACGTCCCTGAGTCCGGTGAGATCTGGGTCGACCAGATAGAGAATAGACAGGTACATGATGATGATGATGAGCCAGAACTCCAAGATGAAGAGAGTGATGAAGCAGAGCTTTACGATAAAGAGCAATACGAGAATAACGATTGGGAACAAGATCAATATCAAGACGATCCCTTGAACGAAGAGCCAGCCCATAAGGGTTTCTTGCAAGATCAACTAATTTACTCTAATGACCTTCACAACAATATTGACCCTGCCTCTAATTATACTTATCCCGAACAACCCCAATTATCTCCGGGCTCGGTCTATGAGAATTCTGAGTCTTTGTACTCGGACCATGGTTCGGAAGGAAGAGATAACTTCTTGGCTGACCAAGGTTATTTTACTGAAGGTTTCTCCCAGATAGATTTGGATGTTGATGGTAAGGACGAGCTGGATCAGGAGGACGAATTGAATCCGAAGGACGAGTTGACTCCGAAGGACGAGTTGAATCTGAAGGACGAGCTGAATCAGGAGGACCAACTCGTTCAATCAGAAGACAAACCTGTTTCCTCAGAACCTTCATTGGTTGATAAGGATTTGAGAGTCATAAACAAAGTTGATACAGGGGAAACAGTGATAGATCAGGGTTTGGACAACGAAGAAGAATCCCTCGATTCCAAGAGTGTGGAAATTACAAAACGCAGTGTGGACGTTAACGACCAAGAAGATCAATCGTCGGAAGAAAAATCTCTGAGAAAACATGAACGAAGAAAACAAGAAGAAATATTTACGAATTTACCTTTTAAACCATATCTTCCTTCTGTAAGTTTATCCCTTATACTTTTTCTTACCCTACATGTCTACTGTATCCTTTGTATGTCTGACCAGAAACGGATTATCATTTGGTCTTTGTAGGTATCTGATATCTCACTTCAAAACCCTGTTCTTTCCAGCTTTGGTTGGTATATTATGTCTGAATCAATATATCCCAATTTGACCTCTTGGTCCCTCAATCTGTTTTAGTAATAAGAACGTATCATATACCCCGGGAGAACGGATAACATTGATAGTTCAATACTTTTGGTGATAGTTCCTATCCGGTATGACCTTCATGACACAGGACGCGTACTCGTACTCTGTACGAATGAAACGACTTGGGGGTGTCATCATCACGAAAGGTTATGACTGACGTTCAGACATTACGTTCACATTTATCGAATCATACTTCATTAGTAGTATACGAACTTACTGGTCTGATCATTTTGATACTTTTCTTACTTCCATCTTAATCTCATCTCCTTTTTTTGTTCCTTCTCGGACTCTCACTATTTTCATCATCAGATCGATTTAACTTACGGAAGAATCCCAAGAGGATGAGGGTGTGTTTGTTGATATCTGATTTCTCTCTTCTTTTGATGATCATGTCAAATTGAGAAAAAGGATACGACGAAGAGGGTGCATTTCCTGATACATATTTGCTTTCTTTCCTCGCCGAATGATCAATTAGATTTGACTGTGGAGAAAATACAAAGATGATGAGGGGTGTTGTTCCCTGATGTCTGGTGTGAGGGGTTCAAGCCTGAAGAGCACACCAGGCCATTCAGATGTAGATTGTAGGGAGAATCTGTTGTCTGCTCTATCTTACGAGAATGATGTTACAGTATATGCATGATCATAACTTACGTCGAGCTACGAAGACAGAATGAATGGGTACACATGTTGCATGTTACGTGTTTCTCTTGACTCTTGTTGATCGTTCACCCACAAACGAATGATGAATCCACATTGACTGTCTCAAGGGAGTAGGTTAGGTGAAGAGGAAGAGGAAGAGGAAGAGGAAAGTCATAAGGTCATAGGAATTGTCATGATGGGATGAACAATAATCATCCAAAATGAAATGTCATGTCGTAGGTTAAAGCATCACCACTCCTACACCTGAACTTTGTTTCCCTGATAATCCTTTAACACCTCCATCAATAGGTGCGGTATTCCAATTGTATAGATAATCTGATAATCAGCATGACTTCACGTTTTGAGTCGGCGTCAAAACTAGAAATGGCTATGAAGCTTTTACGCCGCAAGTCGATGTCACGTCCCAAGCCGGTATTATACTCGGGACTAAATGAAGAAGATTCACGTCCCAAGCCGGTGGCATAGTCTGGACAAAACACAAATTTATGACGTCTCGATTGGGTATTATACCAGGGACAAAGTGAAATATGTTCAACCAGAGTTTCATTGATCATTGGCGGTGGAGAGATTGGGAGAGGGGGGATGGGCGGCTTTGTATGGCAAAGAATGATCGAGAAATGACGTTGAGCCTCACACAGCTTCAGAAACAAGATGGAATGTCATGAGGTTCAAACATGACATTTCTGTGTAGGTCGAAAACGGAAAAAGAGGAGGGGGGGGGGGGGGGGGGGGGGAAAAACCGAAAAGAAAAAGAAAAGAAACGAGAGGGAAAACTGACAATTCTATAAATCAGTACTGATGTTCAGACGTGACTGGAGATAAACTTACTAAGAAACCATCCCCCGCACCAAACTTTTGATCGGAAAGGAACATGTTGTTATCTAACAATGTGAGGGCGTTTAATACGTCAAACCCGGCCTTAGTGTTAGCTATTGAGGCTTTTCCAGGAACGGTCTCGGCTAGCTGAAATACCACACGATAGGTGCTACATGAGATCGGCCGCTCGAGCTTGACATGCTTGCCTCAGCGAAGTGAGGTAGGATTCTAGATGAAGGATGGGGATTCGGGGCCGGGGAGAGATGGCGGCTAGGATCAAAAGTTGGTTACGGATATGCACTACTAGAATGTAATGAGTGGTTTGGTGGCATCGAGCCAGAATGGTGATGGTGGTGGTAGGAGTGACAAGAAGTGATAAGGATGGTAAGGATGGCAAGGATGACAGGGATGATAAGGATGGCAAGGGTGATAATGGTGGTAAGGTCGGTAAAGATGACGACGACCCAACCCACCTTCTGAGCAATCACCATCAAATCAAGTACCAATTCATTCAATCTTTCCGCCAATTTCCCTTGAACTCTAGCCTCATGAGTCTGAGCATCATCCGCCGATCCACCAGGGGAGAAAATGATATCGCTAGCATAATAAAACATGTATGCCGCATTGAGTAATTTATGTTTAGGATGTTTCATGATTGTCGAAGGGAGGGAATAAAATGATACCATGTCGGTTATGAGATGTGTTGTGGGGTCCTATGTTGTCAGAGGGCGATCATAACATCTTTATCATGTGCATTTGAGCGTTTATCGCCAGAGACTGTCATCGG